TAACATCGATTAAAGAGTTGTTTCGTTCTGGAAATTGAGTCTTCATTGTTTCCTACAGAATATTGAGATGTCTCCACTCAAAGGTGCCAAGATGTCTTTGCATACACAATACTTCATTAGAAAAATGAGTTATCTCACACTTTAGTATCACATTTAAAAGATCCTTAAAGGGTGTTGAGATGTCACATTTCTAGTAATATGAGTCTTTATTGCTATCATGTGTAGAGATGATTATATTCTAACAAGGAGAAATTAAAAATTCTTCTTTATTTTTACCAAGATAAAGATATCTCAATCCGTTCGTTGAACTTTTCAAATGGCATAAAGTTGTCTCCTCTCTGATCACGATCATAAAGATGCCTCTTTTCCACCCTTCTATAGGGGTTATATCATAATTTTTATAAGAACCAACTAAAGAAAGTCAAGATGTCTCCGTTACGACTACAAGTATTTATCTTTAGTCCTTACAAAAAATCAAGAGACTTCCGTTTTCTCTATTGTCTCATTAGAGCATCATGATTCCTCTTTCATATATTGGCACAGAAATAAATTCGCTCAATTTGTTTTAACAGTAAATGAATTTCTCTGTAAAATCTTGATTTAAGTCACTTGATAACATCCTCTCGATTAAAGAGGATAAATGTTATGCCTCTTTCGGATCTCCTCTAAGAAGGATCTTCTTCAGAGGTCATATTAGGCTACACCTTCGTTGTAATTCATCCAAAGCTTCACATCCTCCAGAGGAACTCCTCTACTGATCAAAGCCTCTAGAATTCCTAGAAGCCTATGGAATTTCATATCTTCCGACGGGCTATAATGTCTTGACATGACGACTAGCATATCCACATGATTTATCATAACAAATCTTTATATAGACAGATTTGTTCAACATCTCGACCTATAAACGACCATAATAATCATATACTTAATACCACACTAAGGTCGACATGTATGCCATCAGGCAAAATGATTAGGGGTTGAGGACTCCACTAATCGTCGCCTTTCATCTCACTAATCACTAACAGCAACTCTTCACCAATCAAGTGAATTGCCTACATACAACTCATCTTTTCCGTCAACAATATTACTATTCATATCTTAATCAAACATTATCATTTAAATCTAAAAAATATAAATTTTAAATTATATATCGAATTCAAAGACAAATGAGAGATATGAATCCGAATTGCCATTAAATTATTTGGGAGTGATTTTTATATTAGATTTAGGAATTAGGCAACGGGCAAAGAAAAGGTCAAAATCAGATCTTTAAGCAAAGCAAAAGCAAACCCTCATCTTTCTCCTGCTCTCGTTGTTCAATTCTAGTCATCTGTTTCTATCAATCAAGTTCCTGGTGTAGTTTTACCTCTGATTACCTAATTCTCAGCTTGATCTAACCAGGTACACATTCTCCTCATCTTCTTCCTTTGTTTGAACTAAAATCGATTAATTCTTGTTTCATCTTTAGATTCATTACTTGATTTACATATAGCTACAAGGTCTCTGTTTTTGCTACCTACAAAATAATGGCAGTGATCGAAGATATCTGGGTTTTGGGTCTGGATGAAGATTGAGATCTTGATTGCAATTTGCTCGTTTTTGTGCTGCCCTGATATACAAGTTTATTTAGATCTGCTGTTGTTGTATTGCTTTTGTATTTGCATCATTAATTATTGGTTTCTTAGATTTTTATAATAACCGTCTTCATCCTATATTTAGTTGTTGCCCTTAATGTTTTTCATCATTTCGTGCAGCATCTAGTTCTGCATTAATTCTACCGACTATGTGGAGGTTCAAGCCATTTATGCAAAAAGTGCCACTAGGGCTCGAGGGCAGAACGCTTGACGTCGCCAATCTTAAACTTCATGTTCGCAATGCGATTGCCGAGGGTGGTTTCTCGTGTGTCTACTTAGCTACGGATGCTACATGCTTCGAAGCAGTATGCCTTGAAGCACATCATGCAATGATCATGAGTCGATGGAGTTGGTCGTCAAGGATCTCTGTCATGAAATCACTTAAAGGACCCGAATGTGGTCACACTTTACGCATACGATCTTGGATATGGGAAGGACCAAGGAAGCCCTTCTTGTCATGGATTATGTGACAAATCTCTCGTTAGTCTTGGAGGCCAGAGGGGCCGCCTATTTGAGGAGAAACAGATTCTTACCATTTTCTTGGATATCTGCAATGCAGTCTTTGCAATGCATTGCCAGTCCCCACCGGTTGCTCACAGGTAATTTGGTCCTAAAGCTCCACAAGTTTTTAGGTTGCTCCCTTTCTTGTGAATAAGAGAAATGAAAATATGATCAAATGAAAAAAAATGTCATGATCCCAATTTTTTAAGGCCCAAGGATGTTTCTTTACTTCCTTCCCGGCATTTTGATTTTTGCAGGGACTTGAAAGCTGAGAATTCTTTGGGTTCTGATGGATTGTGGAAGTTGTGATTTTGGGAGCACATCAACCAATCACAAGCGTTTTGAGAGGCCTGAAGAAATGGGTATAGAAGAAGACAATATCAGGAAGCACACCACACCTGCCTATAGAGCCCCTGAGGTTGAATGATGACTATATTTATTTATTTTAAACTCGTTTTTATATGGTGGTTAAAATGTCTGATATATCTTCATTTTTTATGGGCATAGATGTGGGATCTGTTCCGGAGAGAACTTATAAATGAAAAGGTGGAATATGGGTAAGTCCTCTATACTTTTTATCTCCATGTGAAATCTGGAGACAGATTAGATTAGATATGCCAGTACAAACTGCAGCTGCTCCGTCATGTTGCAGGCCCTGGGTGTCTTCTCTTTCGAATTTGCTACTTCAAGAATGCATTTGATGGTGAATCAAAGTTACAAATCTTAAATGGGAACTATCGGATTCCAGATTTACCGAAGTACAGCTCTTCAATTACTAACCTAATTAAAGACATGCTTCAAGCATCACCTGCTGACAGACTTGACATCACACAGGCAAGCATTTTGCTTGATTGGTCATTCATCCTTGAATTTAGGTTAGTTTTAGATAATCTATGTCGAAGTTTATCATTGGCAGAGATCTAACATTCTGCTGATCTTTGGATTTCCTTCCCATGATATCAGGTCTGGTTTCGTGTGAATGAGCAGTTGCCTGCTGCAGAACAGAAGTCTTTACCTGATCAGCCACCCAAAATGCCATCCACTGAAGGTGAAGATTTATACCAAAAGCTCTCCAATTGAAGGTCTAATACTTGAATTGAATTAGACCGCTTCTGGTTTGGCGGGATGCCGGTGTTTTTGGATGAGTTATAGGTGTGGATGAGTTATAAGAGATTATAGATAAAAAAATTATTATTGGAGGCGTAGACGTGAGTTTTCAATGAACTTGAATAGATGCTTTGTGCCAATTTAGCAGGTGTTCCAAGGCCTACAAATCGGTCACCTCAGATGCCTTCTAGAAGCCCTCCACCCCCACTCATGGGGAACCAGCTAAAAATACACAACAGCCTGGCTCAAGGCCAAGTGGTGGACGCTTGGTGCTTTCTGGTCTACTCAGCATGCCAATGACTCGGTTATTGCTGAAGAGAAGCACAGACCAAATATGATGAAGAGCCAACCGGCTACAGCTCGGTGAAACGTAACATGAGTCCTATTAGAGGGGAAACCGTAAAACCTCATTCTACCTCAAAAAGTGCACCTGATAAATCGCACAAGCCTGAAGCTGGCCCTTCTCAAGATATTGAAATTAATTTTTTTGAAGACAAGAATACCACCAATGCTTTTCAAGATGAGGCGTTTAACACGTTTGTTGCTGAATTTGATACCAATAAGATCAGTTCTGGAATTAGTAATAAAAAAACGGGAACAGAAAAGCATTGGAGGCTGAAATAGGGAAGCTTAAAGAACAGCTAACACACCAACTTTGAGAAGGCTGAGATGACCTCCAAATTTGAAAAGTTATCCGCAATTTGTCGATCTCAGAGGCAAGAAATACAGGAGCTCAAACAAGCTCTAGTTGCTAGAACTCCATCTCCTAATAAAAGTACTTCAAGATATCATAACTCACCTGGAAATCTGGTACACTTTTCTTCATTTTGTTTCATATATGCATTCATATACATTTAATTTTTTTCCATCAAATCTTTCTTGATTGTGCTCTTGATTGTACCTAATTGTTTCATAGAAGGGAGAGAAGGCTGAAGGAACATTCCAGCAAGAAAATGCTGCTAGTTGGACTACTGCTAGCCCGAAGCAAAGCCATGGCAGGCATTTTCAGAGGATGGAAAACCCCAAAAGAATAGTGTGCAGTCAGTCAGAACCAGAAATGGTCACTCGAACAAGCATGCTGCTCCAGCAGCTTCTTGTTTGGAAACATGGGGTTTTGGAACAGATAACTTTACAGCTGCCCCGGCTGCTGGTGCCCAGAGATTGAAAGCACCTGTAAGTGAGGGAAGTAGTTCCCAACGTTCGGGTGACTCAAAAATAAAGGAGAATCAAACAGTTTCCCAACCTGCTGGTTGGGCTGGATTCTGATTTTCTTGGTATGAGAAGTTAAAGATACGAGAGAATTGTCGTATTCAAGATCATATTGACAAAGTTTAGTACCTATGGTGAGGAAAATATGGGAGGAAAGAAGAGAGATTGAACAATTATGTGACTTATCAGGCTTATTTCCTGCTATTGTTTGCTTGTCTGTGTAGTAGGACATTTGCACATTTCTCTGGGATAAGCAGCAAATACAAAAATGTATACCTTTATTTTGTTCTTTTTTCTCTTGCATGGCTTGATGTTTGATTGTCCATGTTTTCTTTCTGATGATAAAATGCAGTGATCTTTCAGAGAATCAGGACATAACTGACTTTAATGAATATCATTATGATCTGTTTGCGAACTTCAATTTGAATAAAAATATTTGGCAACTTCACAATCTGATAGTCTATTATTGCCATAATTTTTTAAAAAAAAATAAAAATGAAATCTAAACCCCAAATGAAAAAGGGTTATAAAGAATGAAAAAGGGTTATAAAGTATTCTTCTGCTTGATGAATGATGAATCAAATCACAAACAAATACACTGTTCTGTTGAAGGACAAAAGGCCCTACTCCATTTTTATCATACGTTGCCATTGCTGTACCAAGATGAATTTTCAACCAACATTCTGAACCATGATTTGTAGGTTTCTGCAAATCAATGTAAATCAACACCAATCAGAGAGGTTCATGCAAGACTAGATTAGAGTGTACACTGGTACCTAAGAAGCAATGCATCCTAGTAGGACTAGCAATGCAGAATAAAGAACGCGTTTCAACTTAACAACGATCCTTTTTCTAAGATTGTAATATGATTACAAGGTAGTATCTATGTCCGGTTTCAAAAAATGGACAAACTCAAGCATATCTACAGATAAAGTTGTTTGAACCAGGATCACACCTATGTGCCTCGAGTCAAGATAAGATGACAAGTCCGACATACACAGCTATACCGAGAAATATGAATGATATCATTCCCCTGCAAGCGCCATTCAAAAAAGAATGTGAGCGACAAGAAGAGATTATTCATGAAAACAGTTGATGCTCCGAAGTATCACTTTCTCACCATATAAATCCCCATCCAACTCCATTACAGGGGCAAGGACAAATTTCTGCGAACTTCTCGGCATCGCTGGAGTTGACTCGTCGAGATATTAGATCATCATAGATATCTGTGACATTGATATTCAAGTGGCTTCAAACTTAAATCCTTAACTTGATAACGACAATTGGCATAGCTAAACAAATGAACGGAAAAGAAAGAGGTAGCATAACCACAGAGACATACCATAGACTGAAAACAGACTGTTCATGACACCTGCAATTTCCAAAACAAGAAATAAGCAACACTTCTTTTCGCCAAAGAAACGAAAGAATGAAATTACTCTTTGGGAACGATGAGAGAGGATATACCGATGAAGAGAATGACATAGCGGAGAATCCGAACTGTTGTCCTTTCTTGCAAAAGCCAAACTAGAGCAATGAAAATGATAAACCCTGAGGAATACCGTTCATGGATAACATAATCGTTAGCACTTCAAGCTCAACTGAGTCAACTCATGGCAAGTCATCACAAAGTTACGAGGGTACTCACCGATACAAAGTCCCCGAAGTGTCCACTGTTCGAATAATCATACACATCACAGATAAAAAGCTTGAAAGTGATCTTAGAAGAGTATAAAGTATAGAAGGAAAGAAAGAATGCAGCATTTGTATATGAATGCCACTTTTTATCAGGAAATAAAATCTACTTGACGCCTTACATTTTTAGCATAAAAGAGCACAACAACTAGAGCGACAAGAAAACAACCGGCAGCTATTCTTGCAGCTAGGAGATCTGTGGATGCAAGAATTAAAGCCATCCCCCAAAATGATGATCCAAGATCTGCAAGCAAAAGCAATTGTATGCCATAAATGCCGGTAAATATGCAAGCCTATCACTCCAGATGTACGAGTTGTGCTCAGTGAAACATCAGGATATAGGAAACACAGGAAGCCAACGACCACACACTTATAATCAAATTAGACTTGTCTTGAATCATCCATATACAGATTACGCACAATAATAAACGAGGAAGAATGGTATCTTGTCCTAATAAGACTAAATCAATCTTTCCATAAATGCATAACACGGAAATGGTTTCGTAACATATTTCTCAAATTTATGTCAAGAAACACACCATGAAAACAAGGATGTGTTCTGAAATGAAAACACTTACATCCAGCAGGTAAAATAATCCAGTATATACCGCCTCGTGTCTGTGTTACACCACCTTCATCGGCTTGAACCTTGATCCCTTCTACCTACATCATAAGTAAAAGGAGTATAGATTTAGCGGACCATAATCAAATACTCAACATCAGAAAGATGAGTTAACATTAACTTAGACCATCTTAAAAACAAGAACAATTTGCAAGTCCTTTCAAATCAATTTTGGTAGGGCACACCAACTACAATGAGCATTTACCAACTACAATGAACATTTGAACCTTATTTAATCACTTGGTCGTCTTTTCTAAAATAATAGTTCAAATCATATTTCATACCTACAAGATACATAAGCAGAAATTCATTCATTCATAAAGTTTTACTCTATATATGACATGTGATAAAAAGGCAAAGAGGTACTTACATGGCCACAGGTAAGCTTGCAGGCAACAGCATGACTTGCTTCATGCAAGAATACCGTAATGAGCTTAAACGGCCTCAACAGAAAGGTCCTCCATAGCTACAATAATCAAGGGGAAAACAACTTCAAATCATAAATTTAAGAAAACAAAGGCAAACCAGTTCAAATATAATGAATACCAAATCTTTTACATGAAACTCAACTGCAATGAATCCTCTCACAACTGAAAGAACCCATATTTCCTCCAATGTGCAAACCAAGAAACTATTTAAACTAAAAAAAACATTCATGGCATAGTCAACTTAACCACAAAATCAAATCCTCTTTTTGACTAGATCTTTCATCCCTCAAACAAACATAACTATGGAGCTTCCACCAAAACCAACCCTTATTTTCTAATCGCTTTTCATATTGTTTTCTTTCAACAATCAAAAGCAGAGCAGAGTGAAAGATGATTTTCGTTGTAAACAAGAAACAGAAAAAGAAACTTACAAGAAGAATGACAACCATGTAGACACCAATTGTGACCAGAAAGGCGGTCTGGCTACGATTGCAACAACTTTGTAGCTCCCAGTTCGCCATCTTTTCTGCCTTTACTTCAAAATCTAAGAACAACCCTTTTCTTAAATGGGGTCTCTCTCTTGTTTGGGGTTTGAGAAAGTGGCAGACTAAAGAATGAGTCAGAAAAGAGAAAAAGGTAGGGTGTTTCTTTGTTGCGTATAGTTTGAATTTGATTAAAATGTCAAAAAGGAAAGAACCAATCAAATTGCAATTGCGTGTTGGTTACACAGTTTTGTTTTGTTTTGTGTTTTTTTTTTCTTTTCCGATGACTTGGCTGCCATGCAGCAGGTTAAGACTTGGCCATCATCGGTCAAATGTCTGCCTTTTGTAATGCAGAAAGAAAAAAAAGGGAGAATTTCTTATTTAATCCATATATTATGTTAAAATTGCTATAATGTACTTAAGATTGTTTTTCATGTCATTTTTATAATATTTTCACTAATAAATATTCTTAACAAATTGATTAAATTATTAGAGTTTGTGATTCAAATTCTATTTTACTTGTCATAAAACGTTTGTTGAATAATCATTTGATGAAAAAAAAATAAAGATTTGTGACGGATGAAGAAACTTTCGAGCTGGTGCAGATTTTATCGAACATCTTATCTATATATTAAAATTATAAGTATATAATCAACTAAAATATTGTGCAAGTATATGAAATAAAGTGATATATATATATATGAATACATTATGATTAATTAATTAATTAATTAAATTTAACAATATTAATGAAAATGACAAGGTATTCAAAATTTTCTTTATCGTTTTTATCAAATAAAAATCAATTTTCTTTATATAAATTCTTAGTATGCAAGTATAAATGAAACAATTTTCTTTATACAAGTATCATGAAAATAAGTTGCCATTTAAACATATTATTATTTTTAGACATAAAAACAATTAATTAAATAATAAGCGTTATATTTAATAAAAGATAGGGTAAATTAAGTATTTAGCCATCCACTTATTCTTGCAGTTTCATTTTAGTCATTCATTTTTTTTTTCAAAATCATATCTAATGTTATGTTTTGATCCCATTTCGTAAAAAATAAAATCACTAGCGTGACAATTATTTTTTATTTTTCAGTGATAACATGATAATATCTTATGGTGACATGTCAACATCACTGCTAATCTTTTATCGATCGATGACTAAAATGGAACATTAAATACAATTTTGAAATACATAGTTTACCCTAAGGGAGCGTTTAGTTCGCGAAAATGATTCAAGGGGAATAATCTTTTCGGAATAACATTCCAATGTCTGATTTAAGAATATTCCCTCCGATGGTATTCGATTGAACATTTTACCATTGTCCCAGAGAGAGTGGAGGGCCATTGTGAGGATGAGGACCAGGCTTCCAATTCTATTTAGAATTTTCTTCTTATATAAGTACTCTGGCAATCCATTAAATCAGATCCACGCAATCACGTTTGTAGGATATGGTTGAGATGTTCGAAAATCCATCGACCATGGTTTGACTGTCAGATATTAACCGTAAATCGTCAGTGGTCCTTCTGCAAGAACTTTAACATAATCTTCCTCGGTCTGAAATCTAGCAAGGAAATAACCGGTCTTCAAATCCATGAGAGTGAATGGTTATGGCGGTTTCCATAGAGGATAAGTCTTGTTCGTAAGAGCATTAAGTCCTATATTCCGTCCAATGAGTTTTAGAATCACCGTACGCGTCATATTAACTTCCAAGAGCTTGTTGGAGCGGTCAAAAAATTAAATCGAAGGCAATTCGTAACGAGTTCCCATGATAATATCCTCATCAGAGATATTAAAATCCTCATCATCGCTCGGTCAATTTCTACCATTTTTATCCCTTCCTTCTGCATAAGATGGTTGACCCACTTCTTGCTCCTCAGAACTCATCTCCACATCTTGATCCATGGCTTCAGTCGGAGTTTTAAGACAAACTTTTTTAGTGGCATCGCCGATCGCCAGGGAGGGGAGGCCTGATACCTGTTTTCACAGAGAGAGAGAGAGAGAGAGAGGGCGCCATGTGTAAAGAACATGTCATGGTTGTTTGAATATGCCATTGTGGAGCATTAACACCAATAAATGCTCACATAGAACATTATTTTTCAAACTAAAATCATGAAGGAAATTCCGAAACCAAAGATCTGATTTTGAAACCGAGGCCTTAGTTCCAAAATCATCAAGCTTTATGGAAATTGAGTTTTAGTATCTAGTAGTAAGCTTTGAAATTGGACGTTCAAAATTGACTTTTTTTTTTTTTTTGTATTTTCTTAATACAATGGTGAGGCGGGAGCCAGTTTATGCATTTAATCTAATTATCCGAACTGACTTATCCAATCCGAGACCTGATATAAACCGGAATAGGATGATCCAAAATTGATCTGAAACCCAAAATAATTCGAATTGAATTGAAATAGACCCGAATTTTAGGTGAACTGAAAGTAACCCGAACCGAAAGCAACTTGAATTTAGTTTACCCATATATCATTCGAACTGAACTTCGACCCGATTTTAACCTGATAATTGAGTTTAAGTGAATGAATAATTTATTTATTTATTTATTATTATTATTATATATTTTTAGCATTGCTAAATGATAAAATGATGTATGTTTTATTCTCATTTTGTATTAAACTACTAGTTAAATATCACTTCGAGTAATAGTTTAATGGTTTATTATAAATTTCTCAGTTAAAAGATCATTTCTATATCTTATTAAATAACTTCTAGTTCTGAATTTGGACTATGACAATATATAGTCACATAAAATTCTTAATTTTAAAGATTTATTGATTCGATTGATTAAAACTAAAGCTTTTAACTCTAAATTTGGGATGTGAAAATATATGTTCATATTAAATTCTTGAATTATAAGTAACAAAGAGTAGCATCGAAAGTTATGACAACAAAGAAAGTCAACAATTGACCTAAAATGTAACACCTCAATCCAGTCCGACCCGAAGATATATGGATTACGATGTCACACGGAACCACCGAAATGGTCAACCTAAAAATTTCTTTTCAAAACGTTTATACAACATCGAAATCATTCATCATAGCATAAACGAAATCATAGTCAAAGTTTACAAAATATAGAGTTTCCCAAATACGTACAAATACAACCATTAAATTTAAATCAAAACAGAGTTACGAATCGAATAAATAGAAGGTCCAAATAAATACATGTCCTCTAAATATACTCAAGACATACTTTGCAAACGTTTGGTCTAGAATGTACTGGTACGATAGGCTCCTTGTCGATCCCCTACTGACCTGCGCACTGAAACACATTCCATACGCTGAGCTCACTATGCAATACTATATGCATCCATTACATGAACATGTCGATGTGTAAAGTCATTAACATGCAAAGTAGACAGAAAAACATGAAATAAGCCTAATGATGTGGTCAGAGAATTTTATGTGCATCTTGGACGACATACTAGCCTATCTAGAACGAGATAGCTTCAAGGTAAGAATTGAAATTTTACGTGCATCGGAACTTATAGCCATAGTCTATCAGGAGGACAAAAGGAGTAATTATAACAATTTCAAAGAAAAATCTGAAGACCCAATTGATTTGGTGATCTTGCGTCTGGCATTTCTTCATACCTTTGTCTTCTTCTTCTTCCTCCTCATTTTAGGATCTTCTTTTTCCCTAAATCTCTTAAGCTAAAAGGTGCAAACTTTATAGAATTTCAGATCATATTCAGCATTCACAAGGTAAGAAACTTAACCTCATCTTTCCAAGCTTCATTTCAAACTCACTCTTGCAAGGTTTACTAAAGGATGTCAAAATGGGTTTTGTGGGGGTTTAAGGGACCCTTAGGATTTAATCCATTTTTCAGGAAGTTTAGGCCTTAGAATGTGTTCCTAAACCTTTCTCAGCCCCTAAACTCAGTTAGTAAGCTTTGCATTTGCTTCTTGCATAGTGAGAGAGGTTGGAGAAGCTCTAAGGCTAAATGGAATGAGAAACTCACCTTGGACTGAATCTTGGACATTTTCAGCAACATAAATTAGTAAGATAACTCACTTCTAACTCAACTATACCATATGTAGCTCATTTAGATGAGTTTTGGTAAGTTGCATAAGCTTTAAGCATGTTCATGGTAGATTTTATTTTTGGGTGTTTCAATATGTTATAAGACATCTTTATGACCCATTAATATCAAATAAAACACTTAAACATCAGTTGGGAACCTCACTAAGGCTTTTGGAGTAGAAAGATAGGTTTTTATGCCAAAACAGGGCACCTAGTACCAGGGTATAAATACTATAAGAACAATATTGATATTGTTCATCAGTAAAGCATAAAACTAGGCAATTTCTAAAGGTTAATATTGATATTCATCCATGGAGTATCGATACTAGGGTCTTTATTTCGAGACTGATCAATTGGTATCGAAACCAATAATACAATGTACATTTTAGATACCAATACTCACGTAGAGTATCAATGCCAAAATAAGGGGAATCGATACCCTAAGGGAAGTATCGACATTGGAAGTATTTTTCAGAAAATCAAACCTAAATTTAGTACTTTTCACTCCACTATAGCTTTAACCTTATGAGGATCAACTCGAATCCCCTCTGTAGATACCACATGTCCAAAGAATGTAACCTCATATAACTAAAATTCGCACTTCAATAACTTACCATACAACTTCTTATCTCGAAGTATCTATAGATCATTGCGCAAATGGGTATCATGCTCTTCCTTGGTCTTCGAATAGACTAGAATATCATCAATAAATACAACCATAAATGATCCAAATATGGTTAAATACTCAATTTATAAGATCCATGAATGCCACCAGAGCATTTGTCAAACCAAATGGCATTACCACAAACTCATAATTTTCATAGTGAGTCTGAAAAGCAGTCTTTGAGACATATTCTTCTTCTTTAATCTTCAATTGGTTGTACCCAAATCGAAGATCAATCTTCGAAAACATTGTTACACCATTTAACTGGTTGAACAGATCATCAATCCTCGGGAAGGGATACTTGTTCTTCACTGTCACCTTGTTTAACTGATGGTAATCTATGCATAATCGCATAGATCCATCATTTTTTTCACGAACAGCACTGGCGCACCCAAAGGCGACACACTCGGCCTGATAAATCTCGATCCAATAGCTC